AGACAAACACACACACACACACACACACACAGACATACGGACAAGATTGCAAAAATCTCGATTTATTTTTGCACGATTACAAGACTTTCTCTATACTTTGTTTATACGAGAAAGTAAAAAAAAAAATTGAAATCAATGATAAAAACGTATTCAAAATATCTGGTGTTTTTTTAGAAGACGTAACCATACCCAGTGCTTTCGCTACAAGCCCGACGGCAGAAACAAGCTACCTAGTAGATGGTAACGACAACACCTGTATCAATATAACATCAATTACCTATGATGCCATGGGTAGCGGGAAGGCCACCATCTTTACATGGATGAGGATTATATTTCAAAACGAAGGTAAAAAAAAATATGTGTAAATCCCCTTATAATACATCCTGATATTAAGAGTAAATTTAACAAAGAAAATATGCATATGTTTGTATGTTGCGTGTTACAATTATCAATAGAATATTGGTATAATTTTTGTATAATTTTAGCTGTTGGGAAACATTTAATTTATTATGGTTTATCGAAGTTCATATGCATTAATTATCAATTCCACAACACGGAATTAAAATAGGGGAACAGAAAATTCGTAGCATTTTGTTTTGCACACGGTCATTTAAAGACGCCAACCCCTAAACACTGAAACTGGCTGAAAACTACCCTACCTACCCCGACCGCCCTTTCCACTCCTCACTTATATGATGCAACGGTAGAGAAAATATTTTTAATTTAACCACTCTGTTCAGGAAACAATACATCACGATTTAAAATGTTCGTGGATTTTACGGCAGTCTAACATACCACAATCTATAGAAAAGGTCTTGAGCAGTAAAATAAATTACATTGTAATTATTGTCTAGGACTATCCATACAAAGAAATAATTGACTACAGCACTAAATCCAGACAGAACTTTTTTGCAAAGGATAATAAGTTATTTTCTTTATAAATTGGTAAAAACGAATTATATTAGAGATTGTATTTATCAAAAGTAGAAATTAAATGACCTCAAGAGGACATTTGAAGAGTTCTGTACTGGTCGTGAACATCGACATCACCCACCAAAGACGATGAAGGTGATACAAATTTTCTTGTAAACGACTGGTCAAACTCATAGAAATGAGTCAAAGACCAGAAGAGGTGAAGATTTTTTATACCGAAACCGGATTCCATCTCGAGTTTTGTAACATTTTCTTGTTCGCATATACACATTTCTGATGACAGGACAAATTATATCAGGTAAAATATCTCAACGACAAAATATATGTGGACAAAAAAATCTCCGAACAAAAGAAATAAGATATTCTCAGATCTTTGTAATGTACCCGAATAGCTACAATAGTCGTAGTTATAATCGAAAAGCACTTTATGAATGCGTCTGTGTTTTTGGTAATGTATCTCTATTCTCGAACATAATCAACAAGTGTTTCTTTCTTGTTTTATTTTTTTTAAACCTAGCTGTAAGTTACGATACTAGTTACAATTAATTTTTTTTTTCTCGATTGGCCGAAGGAATGACAACGCACCCCGTGTACTTGAAATTCAAATCTTATTTTGATGGACACAATGACACATGTGAGAATTTCCAGAGCTACGTGGTGGACAGTAGGTCACGTGACGTGTACTGTTACAGAACGCAGTTGGCGACCATTGTTTACCTTGATTTCGGTACACCAATAACAATATGTTCACTGCAAATTAGTGGCGGTAAGTGGTGGGTAGTGGTGTGTAGGGTAATGATGTTTAGTGGTCTATCCAACCACACCACACGCGTCATCAGGTTCAATAGCTGCGCCATCACGTTCAGTAGGCGCGCAATGGTTTTTAGTCATGTAACTCTATTGTAAATAAAACATGTAAAGTACTGAAAAAAAAATTCATGAAAAACGTAATAATGCACTAAAAAGTAAAAAGTAAATTATAGACTATTATTTAAATAACTATAAAGAAAAGCGAGGGTGTCTTCCTTAACATTAGTAAAGGTATCCAATAGATACTAAAGTGACCCACGCTTTTCTTCATAGTTATTTAAATAGTAGTCTATAATTTATTTTCTACTTTTAGTGCATTATTACATAAAAGCGTGTTATTAAAACGTTTTTTATGATTTTTTTTAAAATTTATTTTGAATACACAATACGCTTGCGTCCAGCTTTACCATAAAAATATACAACCAATAACAGAAATAACTTGGAACTATAGTAGTACAATTTTACTAGCTAGGCTTTATTACAGAAAACATCAAATCTAGATGAATATGTTCAACGTTAAGTTAATTAAAAATTTTGCATATTTCTTTCAAAACAAGTTAATAAAAAGTCTGGTGACAATTTAAGCGCAATTTCCTTATGTTATCCATAACAATTTTAAATCGAGATAAATCATATATTCAGCAAATAAATAATGCAATACAAGTAGTTTTAATAATTCAAAACAAAATAGAAAAAATCCTTTCGAACCTCCGCTCATTCGCTATGGTAAAATCCTTTCGAGCCTCAGCGCTTTGCGCTAAATCATCCTAGGCCTACACGATGCTCAGTTTAAAAATTCTTAATTAATTTTTTGTGGCCGAACGAAAGGATATCTTTGAAAACTTTCTTCGGCAATATTGTTTTAAATTATGGCAGGAATCGATTGGTAAATGTTTCAAGTCAAGTCAAGTCTGGTTGCCGAGATATGGGCCAAAAACCGAATTTTTTTAGATTTTTTGGCTTTTCCGGGAAATCCAGGAAGGAATTCCGGGAATTTTTTTTGCCTATGTTCATCCTCGGAACTTGCTTAACATATTTGCTTTGGAACTAGTCCTCGATATTGCTTCGTTGAGGAGGAGATACGACTTAAAGACGACTTAAAGCCGCGGACACACATCCACCCATACATACATCCATTCCCAGAAATGACGAGTTAATAATCGCAATTCTCCAGAATGGAAATTGCGCTAAAAAGTATACTTAATTTCAGGACACAACGTAGCTCTAAAACAGCAGGTGAAACTGTCAGATTTATTCAACAACGACACAAAATACAACGGCAGTAACGCTGTAGACGGTAAATTCAGCGACAACTGCGCAAACGGCGGCTGTGCTTTCACTGGCATCAACAACACTGACCCATCACTTGTGTTGACGTTGACTATCCCAGCGTTCGTCTACAGAATGAACGTGTATGTCGGTCACTTTTTCAACGAAAAATGTAAGCAGCTGTGTCAACATCTTCCTATCGAATAGAATGTCATGGCGTGAATTATAAGTTCCCTTGAGATTTGTTAAGCAGCATTGCCTTACAATAGTATCAGAATTTAAGGGCAAAAGCGGGGGATGAAAACCAAAATAACCAAAATGCTTTTTTCTAAACCTAATATTATAATTTTTAGCCTATAGTTATCACCCAAAGAGTTAAGTCTAAAAGTATTAAAAATAAACCGGGAGTGATCTCCCCTAAACTTTCTCGAATATTCTAATATAACACTACGTGGGATGTCAACTCGGAATATAGACATGATTTTTGTTTACTTAAGCTTTTAAAAATAGAATAAAATCTAGTAGAAAAAAAAATTGCGCACCAAGCGAGCACCAAAACCAAATGTGCGTAATAGTGCGCAATATTATTAGTACATGCGTTTTTTGAGAAATCGGAAATAGCGTAAATTAGTACTTCCGGTCAACGGAAATTACTCAAAATTTGATAGAAGGTAGAGAATTAGATCTTTTACTTACATGTGAAATTTCATTTATCTATCTGAATTAGTACTCAAGTTATAGGCTTTTGAAAAATTCAAAGTAGAAAAAGTACCACTTCCGGTTATCGGAAATCGCTCAAAAGTTGATACGGATCTACGATTTTGATATAATACTTATGTATGAAATTTCATCAACCTAGCTGTAACGGTACTCAAGTAATCGCGTTTACACACAGACACACAGACACACAGACACACACACACACACACACACACAGACATACGGACAAGATTGCAAAATTATGTTTTTCCGTATCAGTGAGGTGTAAAACGTCAAGATTTGTAAAAATCTCGATTTTTTTTTTGCACGATTACAATACTTTCTCTATACTATGTATATACGAGAAAGTAAAAACTATCAAAAATGGCCGAAAATGTAATGCCATTGCCATTTATTTACCTTTTTAACATCGAAATAACTAAAAGATTGTTGTGCGAATTCTATAAAATCTTACGGGGTTATAGAGATACACGTTGCTAAAAATCGTGATCGATTACATTTTAAAATTTTAAAATTTTAAAATAGTTTTGTTTTTACACATTTTTTTTTCTGAAAATCACTTTTAAAAATCGCAATTTTTGATAAAAATACACCGTTTTAACTGTAAAAGAAAAACCATAAAAACGTTTAAAATATTTCAATGTTAAAATTGTAAAAAAAATCCAAGATGGCCCCCATCACTATGGCGACGGCAGGAAATTTCGGCAAATTTTAAATTTTTAGACTTAACTCTCTGAGTTATAACTATATTAGATAATATAGCCTTAGGTTTATAAATAAACATTTTGGCTAGTTTTGTTTTCATCACCAGTGTTTCTTCCAGACCTTTTTCTCCGGGGGGGCACTTGAAATTTTCGGGGGGGGGGGCGGTAAACTTTCTTCGGGGGGGGGGCGGACACTGTTAAAAGTATATATTTTCTATATAAATTATATACATTTCATTTCGTTCGGGGGGGGGGGGCGGTAAAAATTTTTCGGGGGGGCTCCGCCCCCCCGAAGAGATGCCTGGAAGAAACTCTGTTCATCACCCGCCTATGTCCTTTATAAAAAAAACTGTACGATATCTTTATACATCATATGTATAGTATTCATACTGTATTCTTAATTATGCAGATTTTTAAATTTTATAACACTATTTCTATGGACAATGATTCATTGCTAATGCACATAATGTTTTCTGAATTATTATCTCTATCTCTATAGATGATTACACCCAGACATGGTACAATTTTACAGCCCACAGGTCTAATGGAGAGGTAGAATTTTATATGCCAAGCTTTAGATTTGGAACTGAATTCAGCCTCATTTATACCACCAGTATTAACAACCCTATAAAATTTATTACAATCAAGGACAGCAACAAAACAGACGGCATTTTTATCATTCTTCGCGAGGTAGAACTCTACGGAGGTAAGTGGATTTAAATCATATTCCTAAATAATTTCAATAAACACTGATCATTTTAAAAATAACTGAGAAATGTAACAACGAGGTGGTAGTATTGTTTGCTGACATCTACAAAACAAAAACGATAAAAAAGCGCATCATGTTGGATCCGGTTCAATTATACTACACAAAAAGGGTTCACTGTCAAAAGCTCCCGACGCATAGACCCACATTCTTTATAATAACAGGCTTTGAATGCACTGAATTTTTTTTCAAAAGGAATAAAGAAACATTTTAATTACAAACTTTTATTTAATAATGCACTAAAAAGAAGAATAAAAATTATTTTCTTACAAAATATAATAATACACTGCTATTTAAATAACCGTGAAGAAAAGCGTGGGTCACTATATTATCTATAAAATACCTTTACAGATATTTAGGAAGATACCCACGCTTTTTATTATCTATCTATCTATATACCTCTAAAACTCAAGTTTGTTAACATGAATATTTATTTGTCTGATTGACTATTGTAAATGGTTGTACTCGATGTGGAGAGCTGTAAAACAGTATGTAGGTAGAGAATAATTTTTGATTGCAGACAGACTGTTAATCACAAATTTATTTAAGACGTTAATTAATTAATCGATTTATTCATAGGTAGATTAACCACAATAATTTTAAAGTTTTAGAACAATGGCTTAACTTTGACCGAATAGTGACGTTTGATAACTAATTTTGTGTTTGTTTTTTTTATCTGATTTGTTATTGGGGAGAATCTGCATTATGTGTAGAGCTGTAAAATAAGTTTTGGGTGGTAAATATTGTTCTTTCTTAAACTCACTGTTAATTACAAACTAATTTATAGCCGTTAATTAATTCATTGATATATTCATAGGTATATTAACCACATTAATTAGAAAAGTTTAGAGCAATGACTTTAGTAATAGTGAAAAAAAATTATTTTCTTTTTACAACAATGTTTTCAATTATATTTTTCTTAAGGCCTACATGTGAATGATAAGGTTGACTATCAGTACATCGCGGGGCACAGGGCAGGTGAAGTAGAGTTCACCTGTTTCTATGTTCTCAGTATATGAAGGAATAGTGTGGTCAGAGCCATGCTCGGTCGGAATCGTTTTTTTTTAAATTCAAACATGTCTGAGACTTGGCGGGACACTGGGCAGATGAAGTAGAGTTTAGTAGAGTTTTTAAAATATAAAAAACGTCTTTTTTAATGTGGGGTCTGGTTATTTTGGGATGATAAGTGCTGACAGACGTGATGTCATTTGTGGATGACCCCTGAAACCCACAGTTTTCTAACTAGATAACGGGTAGTCTAGTAGTTATTTAAATAGTTAATGTATTATATAATGAAAATTCATGAAAAATTAGTTAGGCATCCAATCAAGTCAATTTAATGTCAGATAACATTGTCATTGGGTCTTGAACCTCGTCATTTTGAAGTGCTCAGAATTTCCTTCAGAACTTTCGATCTATGACGAAGCACGACAGAAGAAGCAAGTTTAATAAAAGCTTGTAAAAAAAATAAACCGGGAGTGATCTCCCCTAAGCTTTCTTGAATATTCTTATATTCTTATATAACACTACGGGGGATGTAGAGAGGAATGGACAGAGAGGTGTACTGAAATGGGTACCCCCGACCTTTACGAAAGAAACCATAACCATCATTCTAGAAAACATCGCCATCCCCAATGAACCTAAAACAGCAGTCCAAATCGGGAAAAGTGATAAGTGGGCCGTGGACTTCTGCCCTATGGCACCTACGGAGGAGCTGCCCCACTACATCGAAGTGGAGGCAGGTGAGGAGAAGCACACCCTGTTACTCCAGCTCGAGGGACGGAGGACGGTGTGCCCTCTGTGCAAGACCACCAGACACGGGCCACTTGCATGTAGGAATCAACATATCAGAGAACGGGACAATATACATCTGGACAGGGAGGGACAATACATAGTGGACCGCGAAGACGAAGAACTATCGACAACTGATGACGAAACTACGACCCGGTGGGAAGCAGGTGACCAAGAGGAACGACAACAGGATGAATGGCACACTGTTAATAGGAAAAAGAAGACAGCATATAGACATCAACGAGCCAAGACCATCAGCAGAATTAACAAAGCAGAAAGAACAGACACGATTGAGCAAATAGCTAGCCCAACCACTACATACGCTGGCGTCTTAGCCAACAAACCGGACAGGACAAACAAGAGACCACCAGGGGAATTCATCAGCCCCCCAAGCCCCAAATCGACCAAGGCAGGCCACGTATGGGAGACAACATAGATAGCCTCACAATCATCACCCTCAACATCCAAGGCATCAGACATAAAGATAAGTACCTAAGGCAATTAATACACACTTACACACCAGACTTTATAGCAATACAAGAAACTAACTTCAAGGACAAACACACAGCGGACAGATTCACACGTAGCCTAGGACTCACCCAAGCATATCACAGCCTAAGTAAGCTTACAACAGGTAGCGACACATCCATATTCAACACCTCCAACCATTACAAAGTAAAAGACACGTATAACGACATAAACGGAAAACTGTTAATAGCGACTGTACAAGGACAAACAGGGACACTAGCAATAGTTAACGTACACGGACAGACGGAAAAACGAAACACAAACTATTATAATGACCTAAATAAACTGCTGACAACAAGGTATAAACAACATAAAATCATACTATTAGGGGACTTTAATTGTGTTGAAAGAACTATAGACATATCTTGAACGACGGAAAAGAAAAATAGTCGTATAGAACGAGACAGACCTCAGGTAAAACTGATCCAAAACATTACAACACACTTCAACCTAGTGGACACGTTCAGAACATTATACCCCCACTCACTACAATTCACCCGCGGTAACAAATCACAAGGTAACCTAGCTAGGCTAGACAGGATATATGCCCCACAGGACATGAAAATAAACAGAGTGGAACACCTTACACACACCCTAAAATTTAGCGACCACAGTGCAGTAATAACAACACTAAACAACTTCGAACCAAAACTCAAAAGAAACACACCGTGGAAACTAAATAACTCACTACTCTCGACGAAAGATACAGATCTAGAATTAAAGACACTATCCAATTTTACATACAATCAGCGCCTAGGATAGATAAAATACAACATTGGGAAGACTTCAAAGCAGATATCAAACAAACAACTATACAAATAGCCAAAAGCATCAACATAATCAGACAAGATAGGGAAAAAAGAATAGAAGACCAACTAAAAACACTTAAGAAAACAAATGGCAGTAGGGAAGACATCGACACATTGGAAAACCAATTGACAGAAATACAAGAATACAAATACAGAGGAGCACAAATAAGAAGTAAAATAGACAGGATAGGATCAGAAAACCCTACACACCACACACTCATACTAGAACAAAGCATACAAAGATCCAAACAAATCAAACAAATTGTGGACGAAAACAACCAAGAAACGACAGACCCTGAAAAGATACAATCCTTATTTATAGACTATTACGCGCGACTTTACAAACGAGAAGCGACACAACGAGAAACAAGACGAATACCTAAGCTACATCAAACCACTAGACGACAACGACAAAAACATAATAGATACGCCCTTTAACTTAGACGACATCAGGAAAGCCATTCAAAAACTTAACGACAATAAATCCCCCGGACCCGACGGCCTGACAAGTGAATTCTACAAAACTTTCATAGCAGACTTAAGCCCCCTCCTACTAGATACATTCAAAGAAATATACATGCTAGAACAATGCCACGAAAACTTCAATACATCATACATAACACTCATCCATAAACCAAAAACAGACCCTAAACTAACCAAAAACTATAGACCCATATCACTCCTAAATACAGACTACAAAATACTAACCAAAGCACTCGTAGCCAAATTAGAACCACACCTACCAAAACTAATACATACAGACCAACAATGCAGCGTCAGGCAGAAACATACAGAACCACAACCATCTAATTAGGGACATTATACAATATACACACGAGAAAAACACGCAAGCCTGCATTTTAACATTAGACCAAGAAAAAGCATTTGACAGAGTCTCACATAAATACCTACACAAAGCACTCAAGACATATAATTTAGGCAGTTATTTCAAACCTTGGATCAAAATAATTTACGCAAATGCAAAAAGCCACCTCCTTATAAACAGTAACATAACCAGGCCGTTTAGTATAGACACATCAGTTAGACAAGGATGCCCCCTATCACCCATATTATACATTTTAACCCTAGAACCTTTATTAGAAAATATCAGACGAGACGCAGACATTAAAGGAATAGACATACCGAACTTGAAGAATAAAAAGATATTGGCATATGCCGACGACACCGCCTTTACTTTGCAGACGGAAAACTCAATAAAATTAGTGGTAGGAAAATTCATTGACTATGGACAGGCTAGAGGAACAAAAATTAACTTAGACAAGACAGAAATTATGGGACTAGGACGTTGGAAAAACAGACAAACATATCCACTAAACATGACAGCTAAAAACGAATTACACATATACGGCATAACACACCAGAACAATCCCTCGCTGGAAAATAACAAAAGATGGAAAGAAATTATAAACAAAATTAAGAAAACTATAGACTTCTACAAGTACAGCACGACAACAATTTTTACAAGAGCCGCAATCACAAACAGATACATTATACCCCAAATAACATACATCGCCACAGCCCAAACAGTCCCAAAACCAACAATCAAAGAAATAAACAAGCTCATTAGGAGATATATCTTCCAACACACTATAGGCAACATCAGTCACAACACACTAGTCCAAAGCAAAATACACGGGGGAATAAATCTACACGACATACAAACTAAAATAAACACATTTAGGCTAACACATGTAAACAGAATAATTAGCGAACCACAACACCACCCATTAGCACATTATTACATAGGGATTAATCTAAATAAACATATAAAAATTAACAATAACTCCCCACATTTCATAGGACAAAAATTAAACAACTTCTATACAGAATGTATACAAATCTTTAAAACTAACGAAAACCTTTTAAAAAAGAAATCTCAACAGATTTATAGGAAATTAGTACAGAAGCTTGCCACCCCTCTTTACAATAGAATATCCTGGTGCAGGACATTCGCTTTAACAGACACGACGGACACTTTTAAAAACCTTCATTTCAAAACAATAACACCTAAGGAAAGGGAAATAACATACAGACTGATTTACAACACAACACCACTGAGACACGGACACCAACACAAGACCAACACACCACTAGCGACACGCAAACAAAAATCTCTATGTTATCTATGCAAACAAGACACTCCAGAAACAGAAACACACATCTACCTAGACTGCCCAACCATCCAGACCATGAAGAAAACGTTAGAAACCAAAATAAGAAGTAAGAACGAGACCTTCAATGTTGATATAGGAATAACGCTTAACAAAGTACCAAAACAACAAGACCGGACTATACTGGAAAAAAAAATAAGAACAGTAGCAATATACAGACAAATAATTTGGAACTGCAGAAATAGGGCAAAATACAACGAGACAGAGTTTAACAGACAGACTTTGGACTTGATTTTTAACAGACGACTGGACAGGGAAAACACACGAACACACACACTATAAATATGATACCACAGCCGTTAGGTCACGCAACACCGCTCCCAGTACATGGCCCGCCACACCCAACCAACTTCCCCCTCCCCTCACACAAACCTACCCTTGAATAAATTATTGGTTACTTTACTTATAAATAATCTTTGCAACCCCTCTTTACCCAAACCACTTAGCAAGAGTATAAATCTGTTATTTGAAATCTTTGTAACTATACTACCCTTTTACTTTGCCATACATGGAAATCCACCCCACTGGTAATGTTTCACTGTGAATGTTTAAGTAAGATGTTACTAGTTTTACACTCTTATCGTGAGACTGGGAGTTTTTATCTCCTCCTTGTAGCAGTCATGTCACGCAACATGACGCTATAAATGTAACACCACAGCGTTCATTTCACGCAACAACGCTCCCAGCGCCTGGCCTGCCACAGCCAACCAACCCCCTCCCCCCACCCCCAACCAAACTTCCCAGTGAACGATTTTTGTTTACTCAGCGTAGCAAAAACGATCACGCTATCTAGGTCGCCTTACCCAACCAACCCCCACCCACCACCCACCCCCCTCACTGACCCACCACCGCTCCCCTTTTATAAAAGTGTCCTTTTATGTAATTCAAATACGTTCAACATATTTGATTTAACGATCATCTCTGTACATTACCTACCCAAATTAATTAATAAGTTTGTTTTGAAGTTTAAGTATTTTAAAATTTTGATTAAAAAAAAAAAAAAAAAAAAAAAAAAAAAAAAAAATGAAGACTGTTTGCAGATATTAGTTACAAATGGAAAGTGTGAATGCAAATGACTACCTATTTTACATAATATATCATGTTTTTTTTTGTATACTTCAGACATAACTATGTGTACTTCTCCCCTCTTTTAGGAAGCCTAGACAAACCTTTGAAGCCAATGTTGTTAATATAAAGTTTACTACAACTCATCACTTTTATTTATCATAGACAAATATTGTCCCCTTTCAAACTTTATTATTTATTATTTAAAAATAGCAACTACCTATTGTACATAACATATCATGTTTTCCTGTATACTTCATATATAACTATTTGTACTCCCCCCCCCCCCCCCCCCACCCTTTAGGAAGCCTAGACCAACCTTCGAAGCCAAATTTTGTTAATATAATGTTTACCATAACTCAGCACTTTTATTTATTATAGCCAAATATTGCCCCAATTATAACTTTAATTTTCAGAAACAGCAAATTGCTTTTGGCCCATGAAATAACCCCCCCCCCTCCCTATAAAATACATATTTTAGTCTGTAAATAACATGTAAAAAAAAATTTTGAGAATGAAAGTTTCAGGAATAGTTTATATTGTAAATCTGCATCAGTCTTCTTTATGTCGCATGATGAATGTAGTAAAAATCAGCTACTGCCACCACTCATTGGCTGGGCGCGCTGAAAGTCAAATCTACAATACTGAGACGTAAAAAAAAAAAAATGAATGATAAGGTTGACTATCAGTACATCGCGGGGCACAGGGCAGGTGAAGTAGAGTTCACCTGTTTCTATGTTCTCAGTATATGAAGGGATAGTGTGGTCAGAGCCATGCTCGGTCGGAATCGTTTTTTTTTTAATTCAAACATGTCTGAGACTTGGCGGGACACTGGGCAGATGAAGTAGAGTTTAGTAGAGTTTTTAAAATATAAAAAACGTCTTTTTTAATGTGGGGTCTGGTTATTTTGGGATGATAAGTGCTGACAGACGTGATGTCATTTGTGGATGACCCCTGAAACCCACAGTTTTCTAACTAGATAACGGGTAGTCTAGTAGTTATTTAAATAGTTAATGTATTATATAATGAAAATTCATGAAAAATTAGTTAGGCATCCAATCAAGTCAATTTAATGTCAGATAACATTGTCATTGGGTCTTGAACCTCGTCATTTTGAAGTGCTCAGAATTTCCTTCAGAACTTTCGATCTATGACGAAGCACGACAGAAGAAGCAAGTTTAATAAAAGCTTGTAAAAAAATAAACCGGGAGTGATCTCCCCTAAGCTTTCTTGAATCTAATATATAAAGCTCAGTTCTGTATGTAATGCATATGTATGTCGTTGGAATTGTACGAATTTAAGTGTTAGAAAATTATCGTGCGCATTTGTCTAAATTTATGAGCTAAAAATTACTATTGAAAGTGTTGGGAAATAATTTTCATTTTTCAAATTATAGTAATAATTGTCGTCATGTTCATTAAACACAAGTTTTAAAAAAAATATCATCTTTTACAAAAATTCTAATTATGTCTTTATTTAGTCCTATAGCACTTACTTCCCTTTGATAAATTAGGAAAAACACAATTACTTCCCTTTATAAAACCATTGCATTCCGTGAAAATAATTTACTTTTTAATTACTTTGTTTTGGTGTTGGGAAAAAAAATAATTACATAATTAGCGGGGATTGATCAAGTGCAAATGTTGTAGGTATTTTACGGATAAGCTTGGAGTATTAAAATTGTTTATTAAATTGAAACAGGCGCGTTCGTTTAAGTGAGTGCAAAAGACTGTGAATAAGTTGGGGTACTATAGTCGTTCATTAAGCTAAAACAGGTGATTCCGCCCCGGGCGTTTATGTTCGCGTTAGTGTTTTCTTTGTGTTTAGGTGGGTTTGCGTTAGTGGTTGCGTTTTAATTTGGTTCGTTTTTGTTCTTTCTTTTTTCGTTTTTGTTTGTGTTTTTTTTGTTTGGGTTTGTATTTGTGTTTTTGGTTGGTTTTGCGTTTGGATTTGGTTTGTTTTCGTTTGCTTTTTTCGTTGATTTTTTTTTGTTGGTATTGGTGTTTGTGGTTGGGTTTGTTGTTAGGTTTTTGTTTTCGTTTGCTTTTTTGTTTGTTTTTTCTTTGTGTTTGTATTGGTGTTTGTGGGTGTGGTTGTGTTTGTTGTTAAGTTTTTGTTTTCGTTTGTATTTGTAATTGTGTTAGCGTTATGTTTGCGTTTTGTTTTTTTGGTTTTGGTTGGTTGTGGTTTGGGTGGGCAATGCCGGGTTTATGATGATTACTAAACACACAGGTAATGGTCTTTAACAGAAAGGTTTTTCACAGAAGCCAGAGCAGGGCCTGGCCGGGACGGCTAGTATTCTTATATAACACTACGGGGAATGGCTACTCGGGTATAGACATGATTTCTAATCAATTTTTAAATACTTGATTTTTTTTAAAAATAGAATAGAATCTCGAAGAAAATGAACTGCGAAAACAAGCGAACATCAAATAATGTGTGTATAAAAGAGATGAACATTAGTAAGCCTACTTTATAAAGAAAAACTTAATTTTCAAAGAGTTAAATAATCATCTAATGAGGTAACATTTTATTTCACAATATAATTATTGTCTTCGAGTCTTGACCTACGTGAAAAGTTTAAAATAGCTCGATCCGTTAGAAGAGTTCGAAATTTTGTTCGCAATTTTCAAATCGATTAGGACGATACACAGAGAAATAAGTTAAAAATAAATTCATATTAGGTTGTTTTTGGTGTTTTTTTTTGTTTTTTTTTTTTGAGAAATCGGACATAGCGTAAAGTATTACCTTCTCTCACATAAATTACTAAACCTTTGACAGAAAGCAGTTGAGACAGCTATCTGCCCTTTTTAGTTCGTGGTCGACTCTCAGGCGTAACGTTTTAGCCAACCGTAACCAAAAATATTTCGTGAACCACAGCTCAACAGACTGATCGGGCGATCACATCTAACTGTTTTTTTTTTTTTTAATAATTACTGACATTGAACCCTCATTAATTGACGTCACAAAATTCTATCTGATAACATCTACTGGCTTATCATAATGGCACACAAATGATTCTATAGAATTTTTAAAAATTGTGGGGTTTTTTTCACGCAAGAACTGAACTGTCCTACGAAAACCTACGGACTTGGATGTCAGAAAAAATGCAATTGTGCCCATGGTGATTCGTGTTTTGTCAGCACTGGAGGCTGTCCGTCTGGTTGTCCTGTCGGCTTCAAGGGCATCGACTGTACAGAAGGTAAGTTCAATATTGAATGATATAGTGGGCATTTCTTTAAAGACACTCCATAATGTGGTATACAATTAAGATGGCAAAGTGATTATACCACCATCTTAGCTACGATTCCAGCCAGCTACCTGCATTGTCACTACAGTTCACGTTTCTCTAGCTGTCATCTGATTTCTTCTCGGGCATATGAGGCTCGTTAGCTGGGGACAGCAGCTATTCGAGTAGAGAATCCAAAATCAAACAACTGCTGCCATTGTATTTGTTCTGGTTGGAAAAAGGCTATAGAAGCAAATCCAAAAAGAAAAGCAGGCTGAAATCAGAGTCAATGGCGCATAACCAGTTGACACGTATATTTAATTGAGGTGGTGGCTATCCCCTCCAACACTAAAATTAAGAACGCAGAAGAAGAAGAAAAGCTGACTTCTCGGCCAGTTTTACCGAGATTAAACGGAAATGTTGACTGTAGACACACTGTCCACGCAAATAGGTAGACTGTCCACGTTACACAGACAAGTGTCGCATAAAAAGGTTAGGATACTCGAAACTCTACACTTTACTAGCCCTGAGCTACACATGTGTTGTGTACACCAGGTGCAGCCTCTTGGGTTCCTCTCGATCGTGCTCTGGTTATATATTTTTATCTTTATGCATTTTATAATTTTGTATTCATTCTTTATTTTTTATATGTAAATAATGTTAAGTTTAATTATTCATCGCCTTATTGTTCCGTTAACCCTGGTTTTTTTTATAAGTAACTTATAATTTTACTAAAAGGCCGTAAACCGCGTGCATTAATTATCACTTAGGCCTTAGGCGATGGGCCAGGTTGTTAAGTATGCTGATAACTACTTCTTGTTGTTACTAGCTACTACAATTTTATCATAGCTATAAAAAAAATGGTATCCTGTCCGTGACGTAGATTCCCATGGCAGTTGAATACATTACTTTACCTACTGCCTGTTGATTACTTTCATGTGGTAATAGAATACATTATCAATTATCATTTTAATATCTTATCCTGCCCGTGTTTTATCACACTGAAAAGAAGACCTATATGTTATCACATTTTACTTTATTCCTGAGAAGGGACTCTGACCCTGTTGAATTGTATTACTTTGTTGTTATCAGTATACGGTAAAACTATCATGTTTACCGATGATAAGACTCAAAACTTGAAATATAAACATCAAGGAAAATAGTTGGTTTGGCAGAAATTAAGGGTTGTTTTAACATTATAATGTCTGCGGAAATTACGGTCAGAACTATAACTATCAACAGGACTAATAGAGTACTGATTAGTGTTGATTTGAAATCTAATATACAGTGTTTCTTCCAGACTTTTTTCTCCGTGGGGCACTTGAAATTTTCGGGGGGCGGGGGGGGGGGGGGCGGTAGACTTTCTTAAATCTTAATCTTAAATCAAAATTATCAATCGAATTTTAAACCTCATGAAACATACTGACACTCAGTCACGCCATATAAAATCTGTCAAACTAGAGAAAACGCCAAAATCCAACAACTGTTGAAATCTGAGTCAACGGCCTAGGTGGTGCATAACTAGTAAATCTCTTCCAACATTACAATTTAGAATTGAAAAAAAATTGGTAAAGTTGTAAGAAAAACACTTAAGAAATTATCTTGTAGGCCTATCAGATTGATGTTTTACACTTTCAGCCTGTGGCCCAGGGTATCACGGCGAAAAATGTCTACTCGCTTGTAGCAACAACTGCACCAATCAGTTATGTGATCGGATTACAGGACACTGTTTTAAGTGTCACCCTGGGTACTATGGTGATACCTGTGAGCTCAGGTGTAGCGATCACTGTGCTGGTGACGGGATGTGTGACACCAATGGTACCTGTCTCTATGGCTGCTTAGATGGTTACCATGGTGACAAGTGTTTGGACGGTATGAACAAATTAATTAGAAATATTACTAACCACTTCCATTAAATCGTTGTAGAAGCATGAAGAGACGAGTATAGTAGGAATGTAAAGGAAATAAAGACTTTCTAAGCTTGAAATTGCTCTCTACTTGACGGTTTGAAATTAATTGCTTTATTACGAATGGTTTAAAATTTAAAATATAAAAAATTCGACCACAACTACCCGGAGAGATAGAAATTATGACCTAAGACAAATTTTGTACAAATCCTGCACTTGCCTATACTTTCGTTATTTTTTAAAGCTGATCTACCGTTTACAGCGTGTGACGTGATGAAATTTGGCCCCTCCTGTACACAAACCTGCAGTCCCAACTGTAAACCTGTCGAACCTGCAAGGTCTACCACCTGTCACTATGTTACAGGCGCCTGTCTGTTGGGATGTCGTAACGGTTACCTGGAGCCTACCTGCACTGAAGGTAAATACTTTAAAACACTAAAAGACAAGTAGAGTTAAGCCTTTATCTACCGACGGTTCTTATCAGTAGCACTTAAATTAAGCGCTTATATTATTTTTAATTTAAACATTTTTGATAATACTAATAGCATTATCTCTTTTGAGTCTCCAGTAGGTGGCGGGATCTGTTTTTTTTTTTATTTCCTGTGCGGCGCTATTTTCAATCTGGTCCTGTACGGTAGTCAGAGCTTCTTCCAGGCATCTCTTCGGGGGGGGGGGGGGGAGGAGGAGCAGTGTCTATAGAATTTAAAGAGATAAGAAAATTCATACTTTCAGTTTCTGGAGGACAAGATATACTTTAATGAATATAAAGAAGGGTAAGGGGACTGAGTCGCCTTGCCATTCCCGAGTTCCGCCAATACATATACTAACATAGATAAAAAGAACATTGGATTTCCTCTAGTATGCTTTGTTTTTACACAGCTTCGGTCACAACGACTACCAGTCAAGTAGTCAACATCATCATCGGCGTGGGTGTAGTTGTTGTGCTTGGGGTGCTGATTGTTGTCGTAGGGTGTGTGGTGTACAAGCGGCTCAGTCGTGTCAGAGAGGACGTGGGGTTAGGCAGCTCCAATAACAACCCAGCAGGATATGATGTGGCTGATTATATTTACGATACTGGTATGTTTGCCTGAAAGGCTCATTTATATACTAGAATAAACAAGAGTATACTAACACACACACATTATATATATATATACATATATATATATATATATATATATATATATATATATATATATATATATAGGGTATATATATATATATATATATATATATAAAGCAATGTATGTCTGTGTGTCTGTGTATGTGCGTGTCTGTCTTTTATGCATTACTACACCTCTCATCACTTCGCCATGAAACTTTCGGAAGTTGTTGTAAATATTCCTGGGGAAGTTTATGTTCTGCGCGGGAAAAAGTTCAAATTCGCAGGGGTGGTGCCCCGGCAGGGTGCGATTTGTTTTCTCTATATATATGGTATATAAAAATAAACTCCCCAAAGTTTGATGGCGATCGGATGAACGATGTCAAACCGCAATCGACTTTTATTTTTTTTTAACCTAAATAGAGAAAAATTGCACCCTGCTGTGGTTCCGCCCTTGCGAAAATAAAAATGATTTTTTACAGAACCTTTCCCTGGAGTGTTCTTATCAACTCCCTAAAGTTTGATGGCGATCTGATGAACGGTGTAAAACCGCAATCGACTTTTATTTTTATAAACCGTATATAGAGAAAAAAAACAAATCGCGCCCTGCTTGGGCGCCACACCTTCGATTGTGATTTTTTTTCAGTAGAAACCTCCCCAGATATATTCTTAGTAACTTCCCAAAGTTTCACGGCGATCGTGTGAACAGTGTCGTTGCAATTCACTTTTATTATTTTAATATACAACATGTAGAGAAAAATCGCACCCTCCCGTGGCGCCGCCCTTGCGAAATTAAAAATGATTTTTTTTTCAAAACCCTTCCCCAAAATGTTCTCATCAACTCCCCAAAGTCTCGTGGCTATCGGATGAACGGTGTCAAACCAAAATCGACTTTTATTTATATATACCGTATATAGAGAAAAAAAACAAATTGCGCCCTGCCGGGGCGCCACCCCTGCGAATTTGAAATTATTTTGAAACCTCCCCAGGAATATTCTCAACAACTTCCCAAAGATTCAAGGCGAAGTGATGAGAGGTGTAGTAATGCATAAAAGACAGACAGTGCGCGACAATTACTCTAGTGTATTAATAATTATCTATCATTATTACCAACAGTTTCCAGATGTAATATTATAAATGATATGCTTTTTCTATTATTTTTACGTTTTTCATGATTGTTAGACAGTATAGCTTTTTTACTATGTAAATTAAAGTTATATTATGTTTACAATAATTATATTAACCCTTTGTAATTATAAAAATTCTAGGTGACAGCAATTAAGAGCATAACATGAAAGAAGAAATGCCACATGATGTAAATTATGATCGGCTCAGTGCCTGCATCTCTCCTGACAATACCTATAGCCAACCAATATCACCAGACCTAGACCCTGCGGAGGTGTAATTTGGGGGAGTCGCCCACTCTCCCTTGGACAATTTTTAGAATAGTGGCGACATTTCGGAGAGTAATAAATCAAATAAAATTTTAAACAAGCTATAATTACAAAAATATTCTTAGTTTACGAACCTCGAACTGTTAGTAGTTATATTTAAATGTTCTTTTTTATGTCATGTAAATATCCAATGTATTAATGACTTGTCACATCATTATTTCTTGATATATTTCTTTATATATATATATATATATATATATATATATATATATATATATATATATATATATATCACGCTGTATTATTCATATTTGATAGAAAAATAACAGCATTTTTTAAATATTTAAACACTTTTTTTCAATTTTGCTTGAATTAAAAAAGCTTTTGAAAAAAAATCATTGTTTGCTGTTGCATGTATTACAACTGTTTGAATCCATCGGATGAATTAACTCCTCTGTGACCATCCATCTGGACACATCTACCGAAATAAAATGTGTTCGGTTTTCTCCAGATCCGGTTTCAAAATACTTCCTGTCGTACTTTTATTCTTTTAATCAAGGAATCATTTCTATATTAGACATCTTGCTTTAAATTCTGGACGAGTACCAAAGATGGTTCGATATTTAAACAGTGTCAAGGTCAGGGTCACTAAACAGACCAGACAGCTGCAAGCCGTCATAGAGCAAACACCGGGATCCGTTCCTGTAACATCACGATCTTAGTGTTCATACAGGCGCTTTTGTTGACTTGTTGCAGCGTTAAAACGTGGTTAACTGGAACACGATGCTTTACTGCAGGGGTCTCCAAACTTTTCAGCCCGAGGGCCGCATTAACTATCAAATATAAGTTCGGGGGCCAGGAGTTTCTTCCAGGTCATCTCATTGGGGTGGCATTTTTCCGCAGCCACCTACAACAAAAACTTTTTTTTTTCCGTGGACAAAAAGATCTCCGAGGGCCGGATGAGAGGACCTCGCTGGCCGCATCCGGCCCGCGGGCCGTAGTTTGGAGACCCCTGCTTTACTGGGTTAAACGTGTGGTCCACTGATTGTTCCACTGAGCAGATGATGTAGAGTTCGTTTAATTCTCTGACCTTGACTGATGAAGTGATGGCATGCTGTTGTGAACACGCCAACAAAACACAAGAAATCACATAAAAAACAGTTTTCCAACCCCACCTATAGACATTAAAATATATTTTTAGTTTCTCGATTATACGAAGTATAGAGAAAGTCTTGTAATCGTGCAAAAAAATCGAGATTTTTACAAATCTCGACGTTTTACATCTCACTGATACGGAAAAACATAATTTTGCAATCTTGTCCGTATGTCTGTGTGTGTGTGTGTCTGTGTGTCTGTCCGTGTGTAAACACGATAACTTGAGTACCGTTACAGCTAGGTTGATGAAATTTCATATATAAGTATTTTATCAAAATCGTAGATCCGTATCAACTTTTGAGCAATTTCCGATAAGCGGAAGTGGTACTTTTTCTACTTTGAATTTTTCAAAAGCCTATAAACTGAGTACTATTTCAGATAGATAAATGAAATTTTACTTGTAAGTAAAAGATCTAATTCTCTACCTTCTGTCAAATTTTGAGTAATTTCCGTTGACCGGAAGTACTAATTTACGCTATTTCCGATTTCTCAAAAAAGGCATGTAAATTTATAAAGTACTAATAATATTGCGCACTGTTATGCACTTTTTTATTTGGCGTTTACTTGGTGTGCAATTCTTTTGTCTACGAGATTTTATTCTATTTTAAAAACTTTAAGTATTTAATATGGATTAAAAATCATGTCTATAGCCCGAGTTCCCATCCCCTGTTATTTTATATAAAAATATTCGAGAAAGTTTTGGGGAGATCACGCCCGGTTTATTTATATAGTTAATATATTCTTAATAAGTATCTGCACACTTAAATATTAACCCCCCCCCCCACACACACACACACACACACACACGTTTAGTGAAATCTGTCTAAACAATCTGTGACAATGATAATTTCAATCCACTTTTGCAACAATACCACATAACACAGTATCATTGAGTCTATTCTAAACAGCTTCTATTTGAAATAAGACTTTGTTAAACGTATGAGCATACAGTTCCTTGTTGAATATATAACGCCTAAAATTATTTCAATAAAACTCAGATTTCACGCACTTTATAAAAGACCGTAAAATACCCAAGGTAGAAGGTAAGAAAATATTTCTTCTCTCTAACAAAAGCGGTGGGTGTCTCCACTCAATTTAGTTCCTTATTTGTCCTACTATTCGCTAGTGTAGGCGCTATTGAATCAATATTAACTCTAACGGCAAATTCGTGAGGACTTCAGTAGAAAATTTTCTCACCAGCGATACAAGGCAGGTGCAAGAATTGGGCCCACCCTGTTCAAATTTACGAAAGTAGAACTCAAAAGTTAAAAACCAAACATAATTTTCATAGTTTATATGAAAATCATGACCGTTTTGAAGATCCTCGAACTTAAGTCACGTTTAATTTCTAATTTACTTTATTTAAAAAGTCAAAAAAAAAGTTTTATATTTAAATTTAGAGTCACGTGGTTCAGAATCGGCAGTATATCCATGTGACCCTCGCATAACTCGGCGCATCAGATTTGTGCAACTGGTAGAGATGGATATCAGAACATTTGTTCTTCTCTTAGTTTCAGCTGGTCTCGTTCATACTGTGGTCACAGGTATCTTAATGTTTTTAACATTTTAGATTTCACGTCGCAAATGCAGATTAAAAAAGTGTTGTTGTTTTTTTACTTTCTCGTATATACGAAGTATAGAGAAAGTCTTGTAATCGTGCAAAAAAAAAATCGAGATTTTTACAAATCTCGACGGTTTACACCTCACTGATACGGAAAAACATAATTTTGCAATCTTGTCCGTATATCTGTGTGTCTGTCCGTCTATCCGTGTGTAAACACGATAACTTGAGTACCGTTACAGCTAGGTTGATGAAATTTCATATATAAGTATTTTATCAAAATCGCAGATCCGTATCAACTTTTGAGCGATTTCCGATAACCGGAAGTGGTACTTTTCCTACTTTGAATTTTTCAAAAGCCTATAACTTGAGTACTATTTCAGACAGATAAATGTAATTTCACATGTAAGTAAAAGATCTAATTCTCTACCTTCTATTAAATTTTGAGTAATTTCCACTGACTGGAAGTAGTACTTTACGCTACATTCGATTTCTCAAAAAACTAATGTAAATTTTAAATTTAAAAGTACTAATAATATTGCGCACTATTATGCGCTTTTTTATTTGGCGTTCACTTGGTGTGCAATTAATTTGTCTACGAGATTTTATTCTATTTTTAAAACTTTAAGTATTTAAAATGGATTAAAAATCATGTCTATAGCCCGAGTTTCCATCCCCTGTTATTTTATATAAGAATATTCGAGAAAGTTTAGGGGAGATCACTCCCGGTTTATTTATTCCAGGTTAAGGGAGATGAATATTTCTACATGAATAGTTTGATGCAAATCCCTTAAGAAGTATTATACATAGTATTTAAAAAATATATTCCAATTTTTCAAATTGTTTACCCAGAATCAAATAAAAAAGTATACAATAAAGTAACTGGACATGATGTCAAAATATTAGAGGAATCATTTTTTAAGTGAAGAATTTAAATCTGATAACAGAAATGCGTTTTTGTGTGAACACAAGCCGGAATGCCTGGCACTACAACAAAACATATTTTATTCAAAGTGTGAGCTTCGTTCATCGAACTTTGAGCTTTGTTAATCGAAGTTTGAGCTTTGTTTATTTAAAGTTGGAGATTTGTTCATCGAGGTTTGAACTTTGTTCATCGAAGTTTGAGCTTTGTTTATCGAAGTTTGAGCTTTGTTTATCGAAGTTTGAGCTTTGTTTATTTATAGTGTGAGCTTTGTTCATCAAAGTGTGAGCTTTGTTTATTTAAAGCGTGAGCTTTGTTTATCGAAGTTTGAGCTTTGTTCATCGAAGTTTGAGCTTTGTTTATTTATAGTGTGAGCTTTGTTCATCAAAGTGTGAGCTTTGTTTATTTATAGTGTGAGCTTTGTTAATGATTTCAGCTTGTGACTACGGCTGGTTCGGCCCAAATTGTGAGTACAAATGTCACTGTGGTTCCACCGGTCTCTGTGATGTCAACGGTTCTTGTGAAGAAAATTGTGAAAGTGGGTGGTTTGGTCCAGCCTGCCAATATCGTGAGTACTAGCTGTTTAAATGTGTTCTAGCTATATAGAACGTTATAGAAAGTCGACCGAAATTGATAATTTTACTACAGCTGTTATGTAAGGTGTTTAAAGTAAAGCACAACAACAATAGCTGCTTAGAAATCTGAGAGACTTAAGTGTGAAAAGCCTGAATGTTTTAATATATCAACTGCGTGGGGATGGGACGGATAGATGGATTACATTGTGCTTCCCCCAAGCAATGTTTCTTCCAGGCATCTCTTCGGGGGGCGGATAAAGAACCCTTCCCCCCCCCCCCTCCCGAAGAGAGTCTACTACCTTCCACCCCCGAACGAAATGGAATTAATATAGAAAATATATACTTCTAACAGTGTATGCCCCCCCCCCCTCCGGAAATTTCAAGTGCCGCCCCCCCCCCCCCCCCCCCCCGGAGAAAAAAGTCTGGAAGAAACACTGCCCCAAGTTAGGGTACAGGTCTTTTGCCTTGACTGACAAATCGCGTTTATCATCAGGCTATGGAGCATTAGTTCTTTGCTAATGTAGATTAGTGTTTCTTTGCTTAATTAATATCTTTGTACAAATTAAACGAAACATTGTGTTTATGTAATATGTGTCAAGTGTGAACATGTACGTACTTACGTATAAACAGCAATACTACTACAATGTTGTATTTGGTTTGCTGTGATGTTGCAGAAGACCTAGCTGACGCCAACATACTTACGACAACACCAACAAAACCTGCCCTGTACCTCACTGATCAGGACGATAACTCTTGTGTAGATAACATTACACAAATTGCTGTACACCTCGATGATGAGAATATAACAACCATTTTTAGCTGGTTAAGGATCAAATTCTTAACCACGGGCAAGTACATACATATATACACACACACACACATATATATATATATATATATATATATATATATATATATATATATATATATATACATATATATATATATATATATATATATATATATATATATATATATATATATATATATATATATATATATATATATATATATATATATATATATGGATAGGGATATATATGTATATGCTTATTAATATATATATATATTTATTTATTTATTTTATATATAATTATGTATATATATATATATATATATATATATTTATATATATATATATATATATATATATATATATATATAATATGTATATATATATTATATGTATATATATATGTATGTATGCATGTACGTACACGTTTATGTGTATATGTATATAATATGTATATGCATATTACATATAAGTATATATAAATTTATTTTTATAAATATTAATGTATGGTTATATATATATATATATATATATATATATATATATATATATATATATATATATATATATTTATATATATTTATATATATATATATATAAATGAGTGTGAGGGTATATGTGTACTGCAGGGTATATATTCTTACTGTTAATTTTCATCATCTTGTCAAATCAACGATGTTTTAAATAATTTAACCCTTAAACAATTGTCTTATAAGTGAAATCAACACCATCTTAATTAAGCATGATTATGTTCTAATGAATCACTCACCAACGACGTCACACCACAGACATGAGCACCAGGACAATGTCCTTAGCCTTCCAGTCCCCAGACCAGTCAAACCTGGTTGAATGTCCGGACCTCCAGAACTTTATGATAGACCACAGAACACGTGACCTCCATTGCTACAGGACTGGGATCTCATCTTACGTGTACATTCTCTTTAATTCCAGCACTACAGTCTGTACTCTTCATATAAGTGGAGGTAACTGGACCTAAATATTTAATTTAGTCATGCTTGTAATATAACAGTCAAAATGTATGATCTGAAAAATCTGAAACATTCATTGTATGAATTATTTTGTTTAGAAAGCTCCAATATATAAAAATACACCATTTTCTTAGTAAAATTAATAAATGTATAAGTTAAATCGGACTCGGCGACCTATATTTTAAATAAATTTTAATTTTTTAGACAAAAGACTTTGAAGTGATTTTCTATGGTTCAACAAACGGCTGTTTATACATCGGTATCTCTTCGTCTTAAAACAACTTAAATTTAAATGAATGAAAATAAAGTAGACTACATGTTAGAAAGAAGTATTTATATTGTAAAACTGTATCAGTCCTCTCAAGCCGATGATGAAAACTAAATTTAAAGCGAACATGCCAGGCAAACTGTAAATTAAGGGGCACTTGATATTTTTAGAGGAGCGGACTAAATTTTCCCGGGGAATGGGGGTGGACACTAGTTAAAGTATATATTTTCTATATAATTCCATTTCGTTCGGAGGGTGGTAGGCTTTCTTCGGGGGTGCCCCCCCCCCCCCCACCAGAAGAGATGCTTGTGTCAAAAATGCTTTTCTTGTTCAGGTCGTAATGTGGCCCTCAAGCAACAAGCCCTGCTGTCGAGTGTCTTCAATAACCATACAAAATACGGCGCCAGTAATGCGGTGGATGGCGTGCTGATCAACAACTGCAAGAAGTACGGATGTGCCTTCACTGAGACGAACGCCACAAAACCAACACTAATTATCAAGTTGTCCATACCGGCTCTAATATACAGATCACGCTTTTATTCTGGGCTTTACACCCTCGGCAATAGTATGTCAATACGTATTAAGTTAAGTCATATTCAGATGTCATTTCTAACCATATCCTACTGTTCTACAACCTTTCGATCCTCTAAAATTTGTTGAAGTTGTTTAATTAAATGGGATTTTGATACTGTTGTTTTCGCACTGATAATTGCTGGCAATGGCATTTTAGAACGTGCAATCAAAACTATTTAAAATCACTTTCTGATAAAGTCATTCAGTATTGATAGATCCGTTTGATGGATCAGTCTGTTTAGTAGTGGGACCTTGAGTGGATAGGGGAGTTAAGCCACGGAAGGGACAGATAATCAGACCCAAATTTGGTTTCAAAATTAAATTCAAATTATTTTCTAAAATATGTTCTTATATTGGATTTTGGTATTAGCCTAATCCTTAGAGAAGTCATTATTTTTTGAATAAGCTATTTTGAGGGATTTAGTAGAGAGTACAAAAATAAATTAATTTAGAAGATTGTAATGTGCTTTTATCATGCTCATTGTGTTATCATACTCATTGTGATGGGTATTACAGTAAAAATTATATAATATTTAAACAACCATACTATTTCTAATCACAAAATACCCAATTGGCATTTACCATCGTTGTTTTATTAACAGTTTGAGCATATTGTACTAAGCTGTTTTTTTTTCTAAACAGATAATTACTTTCAAGAAGGCATAAACTACAAAAAATTGAACTCCGACGGAATTGTTTCAATAGAATTCGACAGCGAAATCCAATTTGTGGACCTCCTTTTTACTTACGCAAGAGAATTTAAAGAACCTACTGCTAGCATCAGTATTTCTAATAGTAATAGTCACCTAGCTAACGGTTCTTTCATTATATTTCGTGAAGTGGAATTGTATGGAGGTCGGTAATATTCATAACAATTTTAACTTAACAATTATAAATGTGAGGATTTTACAAAATATTTTAATAGCTTTTGTTAGCGAATTTATTTTATCCCCCCCCCCTGCGGTTGTCTGCCTAATCCTATTTCTAAATTCGTTAAGGCAGCAGAGTTGCCTTTTCAGTCTTAGGTGCTTAGACCACAGGTGCTTTGACCATAGGGGGTTTGACTATAGGGGGTTTGACCATAGGGGGTTTGACCACAGCGGTGCTTTTTCCACAGCGGGGCTTTGACCATAGGGCCTTTGACCATAAGGCCTTTGACCATAGGGGGTTTGACCACAGCGGGGCTTTGACCATAGGGCCTTTGACCATAGGGTCTTTGACCATAGGGGGTTTGACCACAGCGGAGCTTTGACCATAGGGCCTTTGACCATAGGGGGTTTGACCACAGCGGGGCTTTGACCATAGGGCCTTTGACCATAGGGCCTTTGACCATAGGGGGTTTGACCACAGCGGGGCTTTGACCATAGGGGCTTTGACCATAGGGCCTTTGACCATAGGGGGTTTGACCACAGCGGGGCTTTAACCATAGGGCCTTTGACCATAGGGGGTTTGACCACAGCGGGGCTTTGACCATAGGGTCATTAACCATAAGGCCGTTGACCATAGGGGGTTTGACCGCCTCTCCGTGTCATCCTTCTCAGTCGTCTGCTAGTTTTAGTGAATCTACGAACGACAATCTGGTCCAGTCCCTGATATCATACAGCCATCTTCCGACCGGAAATTTAGTAGTTTCAGTTAGGTAGACGTAATTTCATTCATAAATACAAAACCTAAAACTTGGATTACTCTCATGTTTTTGAGTGACCTACAATATCTGGAAGTGGTAACAATGACTTTATTTCCGTTGGAAGACATTTCATATATAGGTGAAAGATCTTATTCTCTTTGAAATCTTAACAATTGAATGATTTCTGGTGAGCGGAAGAATGTACCTTACACATACAACCATAATTGTTTGATAATTTTATATCAGGTTTGGTGCTTGAATCTTTGTTCTACGCCTAACCTATTCTACTTAAAGAAAATGAGAGAGCGACAAATTACTGATCTATATTTATCTGATTGACGATTTCTCAAAAACACTTACTCTCATAAGGCATATTATAAGAAATGTTTACCAAAATGCGTTTTCTCAAAAAAAAAAAAAAAGAAAGAAAGAACACAGAGTACCGCCTTTATAAACAGCTTCTAAGGCCGGACTAATCTGGGAGTACCATCCCAACCTCATTGTTATAGAATAATATACGTGAAAGTTTAGGGGAGATCAGTCCTGCATTTTTTGTGAAGTGTTCCCTATAAGCTGACAATAGGGCTGGTAAGTAGGTCACCAACTAGTTCTACGACTCAATAAAACCTGCATGAGCCATAGAACTGGTTAGTGACCTACTTACCAGCCCTATTGTCTTCATCATTTTTCCAGAATCCGATTGTTTTGATGGAACCTACGGACTCGGCTGTCTGAAGACCTGCAACTGTAAAATCAGGGGCGAAACTTGTTTCGTCAGCACAGGAAGTTGTCCGTCTGGCTGTCCTCTTGGTTACCAAGGTGAAGGATGTAAACAAAGTAAGTTGAACGCCTTAAAATGTAAATACAATAGTTCAAGCTGCAATAAAATAAAGAATACGTTTCAGACAAGAGTAACAGAAATTCATTTACTACAAACGAAAAATATCCTTAGAAGTAGGATGTAACATACATTCGTTGTATGCTCTTATACAGAAAAGCGAGCTATTCTAAAAAGCGAGCTTTTATAAAAACAAAAAAAAACAAATTGATTTCCTCTAACATTCGTTTTTAGAAATATCTAGAACACTTTGTTGTTGTACTACAATTTTTGTTCGATGCTATAACGAGACATTTAATCATGGGGTCGCCTCCATCGGTGCTGAGGGGCCAAAGTGTGAATTTACACTTATAACAACAGCTGACACAGTTTAAATTTCAAATTATATATGTATATATGTATATATATATATATATACATATATATATATATATATATATATATATATATATATATATATATATATATATATATATATATATATATATATATATATATACACAAAGCAGTTTATATATAATCCTAACATTATTGTCCTACACATAAATTTTACTAAAGGACAGATCGACTTTAACTTTCTATTACTACAACGATTTACTCTAATATAACCTAACTATTCCATGTTAATATTCAACAACTCGCTACGCTATGTCAAAGTTGTTGTTATACGTTCAAGTGACCAACTGTACGCTGACGTCATCTCGTTTTTAATTGGTCGGGCTCTACGATTGGTTCTTGATCTACCTCCTCTCAGCTGATAGACCTATTTTTAACTTTATCTTAGTTAGCGTCATCACAATCAATACAATATAATGTAGTCACCATGGGAAATGATCTCTTACAGTCTGCGACCCGGGGTATTTTGGCACCAACTGCTTACAGAAATGTGGTGACACCTGCAGGGATGTGCTGTGTCACCACCTGACGGGACACTGTATTAGGTGTCACCCTGGGCACTATGGTGATACCTGTGAGCTCAGGTGCAGCGATCACTGTGCTGGGGACCGGATGTGTGACGTCAATGGGACCTGTCTCTATGGCTGCACAGATGGTTACCATGATGACAAATGTTTGTTTGGTGGGTATATCACAATTTTCACACAATGTCTAAAAAAATATTTTATTTCTTAAAATCTCGGTAAATTATACAAAAGATAAAACAGTGTTTAAATGTAGTGTATTAGGTCAAATAGATGAAAATATAAATAAAGTTTTAGCATGTTGACGCCCTGAAATTCGGTGCCTCTTACCAGAGGCGTAGCGATGGAGGGGGCGGGGCGGGGGTACATATGTACTCGGGAGCCCACCCTAGGGAGGCGCCAAATTAGGTTGAAAAACAAATTGAAAGCTCATTTTAGCTGCAGCTTTGCATTATAACTATATAAAAATATATGGGGGGGGGGCGCAAAATTGAAAGTTTATCACTGGGCGCCGGGAAGGGTCGCTACGCCTCTGCCTCTTGCAGGTAATCTTGTTGCACAACAGGTGAGGTCAAGCACCTGTCATCAAGTCACGTGTCACAAACACTGCCTGTCATGGGTTATGAGAGCGTGTACAACACATCATAGTCTGTGATGTGTTGTATGTAGGTAGCTCAGTCAATACGATGTGAACAAGTTAAGTCTATATCTACACACATACCTCCGACACACACGCATATATATATATATATATATATATATATATATATATATATATATATATATATATATAATGTGTAAGTGTGTGAATATATTTATGTTTATAATTTACATATAGAGCTCTATGCTAACGTTGTTTGATAACAGCAGAGTTTCTTCCAGGCATCTCTTCGGGGCGGGCTTTGCCCTTCCCCCCCCCCCTCCCCCCAAAAGAATTCTACCGCCCGCCCCCCCCCCCCTCCCCCGAACGAAATGAAATATATATAATCTATATAGAAAATATATACTTTTAACTGTGTCCGCCCCCCCCCCTCCCGAAGAAAGTCGACTGCCCCCCCCCCCCCCCGAACATTTGAAAAAGTCTGGAAGAAACACTGGATAACAGAAAACCGAAAAGTTTAATAATCGCGAACTACAACCTTATCATGGCACCCCATATATAGCTAGCGAAGAATTGGCAGCAACATCTTTTAGTTAGTATTTGCTTTTTTTGTTTGTATTTCATAAGTTTGCCCTATGTTCTCTATACATTTTTTTTTCAATTAATTTTTTAACTGTTTAAAATAAACGAGCTGGCCCGCGACGTAGTATACGCCGCCATCTAGTTGTTTTATTTTCTGCTTATCAGCACTTCATAATTTGTGAATTCAACACTACCCCTCCCGCCCTCCCTTCCTCCCCCCTCCCGTCCAGTTAAAACAGCCATTTCACATTTACAGACAAAGAAAAGATCAATCATAAATGTTTACGTCCCCTTTGTTTCAAATCGTTTAATACTAAATTATCTGCCCCTAATAGCCGTCACTAACCCGGCTCTACGGTTGTAAACATTCGGGGTGAACCACAGCTCACCTGACAGTTGAGGATGAGGGTGGTGGATAAGCTGCGTGGTGTTTTCTAATGTCTCTACGAACAGAATTATATATATATATATATATATATATATATATATATATATATATATTGCATGATTATCTTAACCACAGAAGCAACATCTACCAATGACAATGTTAACATGCCAATTGGTGTTGGTGTTGGTGTTGCTGGTGCTGTGTGTGTTGTAGCTGCCGTCCTAGGTTGTGTGTGGTACCGACGACGTCGATCTGACCAGGTGCCAGGGTCACGTGTCAACCACAACGGTCCCAGCAAGACGGATTCCAAGATGTACATTGGTGAGTACTGCTCACGTCTACTCACGCCACTACACGTGTGCTATGGTTGGGTTATAACTATGGACAGCATCGAGTGTGACAAACGGCCTACTGTCATTATTTTTAGAAAACGTGTTTTTGTATTCTTCTTCTTTTGTTCTTCGTTCTTAATTTTAGTGTTGGAAGGGCCCCTCCATCACAATTAAGGATACGTGTCAACTGGTTATGTGCCATTGAGGCCATTGACTCCGATTTCAACCTGCTCATCTTTCTGGATTTGCTTCCATAGCCTTTGTCCAACCAAGAACAAACTACAAGGCAGCAGTTGTTTAATTTTGGAGTTGTCTCTCCTAGAAGAGTGGCTTTTCCCTGCTAACCAGTCTCATCTGTCAATTCTTCCTTCATAGTGGCCAAAAAAAATTAAAACCTTAAGTCTGAAAACATTTAATCAATTTAATATATTAAGAATGAATGTTATAAAAGTTTCAAATGTAGAGAACTTTTAAATAATTTTCGGTGTTTAAGACTACATCTCTATTTGTTTTCTTCATGATAAAATTATAACACTTTAGCTTTCGTAAGACGAGCAATGATTGGCGTACAGAAACTCTATGGTCGATCTTCTGAAAACCCCACTTTGTAGTAATTTGTACTCAAAACTTTGCCGAAAGAATTTTTTTATATACTTTTTAAACCCTATGACCTAGTTATGCCATGTTTATTTAAATTTTCAGTGAGAAAAAAAAACTAACCAAATTGTTATACGGTTTTATTTTAAATTTGTCTAGTTACACAAAATGCTAAAAACATCAAATTCATCCAATCTTTATAAAAGTCCAAACATCACAATAATTTTTTCATAAAAATATTAAATGCATGTTATGAGGCTAAACCATTTCTTAAAAGTTTATAGAAACTTTCACAGAAATTTAATATTTCTAGAATCGATTATGTAAACGATGCAAAGACAGAACGAAAAAAAAATTACTTTGAGAATGCGTTTCCATGGTAAACATGGCCGTATTTTAATAATTTTGTTATTAAATATAAACATTTCCGGGTGAATTTTTATTTTTGATTATCGCGCCTGATATGGCTATATATAAAAATAATTAATATCATAAAAGTATTACTTGACCGTGTATTTTCTTATCAAACAGCAGAAAATCTTTGATTTTGTCTCAACCACCACATGAAAACTCTTAACTGTTTTTGTCTTTTTTATAATGTTGTTTAAAGGCCGAAATTACTGAAACATTCAAATAAGTCCGATCTTTAATAATAGTCCGAAAAAAACCAAATAATCAATTTTTTAGAACCACATTCATTTTAATTATATTGTACCCGATTTTTAATACAACTAATGAACCATTAGAGACGATTCTATACAATTTTCGGTTGGGTTATTAATAAGTCCAATATTCGTGTATAAAAACATAGTCTACTAGTATGGATTTCCCAAACATAGCCTAAAGATTTATTTTGAATTTTTCAGTGCCGGTGTATAATGAAGAAGAGAAACCTGACCAAGTTGACCAACCAGAGTACGTGGACATTGTCCATCAAAACTATGACGACTACATCTACGACACAAAATACACGCATAAGTAACTTCTTACACAGTGTAACAATAGATTGACATCATGTAACAAAATATCTTACACAATGTAACATCCCATCTTACAATGAGAGTATCAATACATCCCAAACTTTGTAACAGGAAATCCCATCTATAGCAACTATATCATTTTTTATATGTTGCTGTTACAAAATAAATTCTGAATAAAGCTTTAACAAGATCAAACACAAACTCTCGCTATAGTGTTATGTGTGTTATGTTATGGTTGTTGTGTGTGTTGTGTGATGTGTGTGTTATGTGTGGTGTGTGTATTATCTACGTTATGTGTTATGTGTGTTATGTGTGTTGTGTGTGTTACGTATGTTATATGTGTTATGTGTGTTATGTGTGTTGTGTGTGTTATGTGTGATATGTGTGTTATGTGTGTTGTGTGTGTTACGTATGTTATATGTGTTATGTGTGTTATGTGTGTTGTGTGTGTTATGTTTGATATGTGTGTTATGTGTGTTATGTGAGTTATGTGTGTTATCTGTGTTATGTGAGTTATGTATGTTGTGTGTGTTATGTGTTATGTGTTATGTGTGTTATGTGTGTTATGTGTGGTGTGTGTGTTACGTATGTTATGTGTGTTATGTGTGTTGTGTGTGTTATGTGTGATATGTGTGTTATGTGTGTTGTGTGTGTTATGTGTGTTATGTGAGTTATGTATGTTAAGTGTGTTATGTATGTTACATGTGTTATGTATGTTATGTGTGTTATGTGTGTTGTGTGTGTTACGTTTGTTATATGTGCTATGTGTGTTATGTGTGTTGTGTGTGTTATGTGTGATATGTGTGTTATGTGTGTTGTGTGTGTTACGTATGTTATATGTGTTATGTGTGTTATGTGTGTTGTGTGTGTTATGTGTGATATGTGTGTTATGTGTGTTATGTGAGTTATGTGTGTTATCTGTGTTATGTGAGTTATGTATGTTGTGTGTGTTATGTGTTATGTGTTATGTGTGTTATGTGTGTTATGTGTGGTGTGTGTGTTACGTATGTTATGTGTGTTATGTGTGTTGTGTGTGTTATGTGTGATATGTGTGTTATGTGTGTTGTGTGTGTTATGTGTGTTATGTGAGTTATGTATGTTAAGTGTGTTATGTATGTTACATGTGTTATGTATGTTATGTGTGTTATATGTGTTATGTGTGTTGTGTGTGTTATGTGTGTTATGTGTGTTATATTTTATGTGTGTTATGTGTGTTATGTGTGTTATGTGTATTGTGCGTTGTGTGTTATGTGTGTTCTCTTATGTGTGTTTTGTGTGTTATGTGTGTTATGTGTATCATGTGCGTTATGTGTGTTGTGTTATGTGTGTTATGTGTGTTGTGTTACGTGTGTTGTTTGTGTTATTAGTGTTGTGTTTTTTGTGTGTGTTATTTGTGTTATGTGTGTTGTTTGTGTTATTAGTGCTGTGTGTGTTGTGTGTGTTATGTGTGTTATGCGTGTAAGACGAACTAATATATGAGGCTTCGCTGTGTGAAAAGACTAATTAATTAACTTCCTTGTTTATAGAACTTTCGTTGTGTGACTGTTGTCATTGGATAGCTAAAAGTTCCCCAAGCATTAATAACTGATACGTTCACCCATTCATTAATGCACTAGTATTAATTAAAACATGGGAATACAAAGATTTTTACGAGAAGACTTTTTCTTAATTAAAAATAAACATTACATTTCTGACAAAATGAAATAGTAGCCTTAATATGTATACAATTTAAGATATTTTTTTTAAATGATCTAACTAACATTGCGCATAAAATACACCTAAAAAATGAGACATTTTAACCCTTCCCCCCCCCCCCAAACTATATAACATTAAATTCCATTTCTTTATATTGCAGATCATCATATCCTCCTACTTTAATAAGAACACCCCCATGAAACACTTTTACACAGCACAATCTGTAATTTTTTAAAAATCAAAATCCCATCGATTAGAGAAATACTATTAGTATACATCCATTTAAAACGGTTGTAAAGTCGTTTTTTGTTTTGTTGATTTTTTTGTGATTGTTGTTCAAAGACACAGTTTTGATCTGTCAGCACCAAGCTTTCAAAGACTGCTACGCTCAAACTTGGATTCAGTTACGATTAGACGACATGATAAGCTTTGAAATTTAACAAAGGGTCGAGATGACTCAGAGCCGTAGCGAT